TGCATTAAATGAGATCGAATTTTTTATTTGTGGTTGTTTTCTTGAAGTGGAACTGTCAGCTCTTGTAACAGCTATCGTTGAAGAAGTTCCTCTCTCCTACTTTTGGAAATTTGTTGTTTTCAGTCCTTTCAGTATTCACAAAGGTTAGGGAGCAAGAGCAGAGAAAGAAGGTTGATGAGAAATATCCGTAACCGTTCTTTTGAGCGACGTGTGTAACGCAGCTGAGAGTAATACTACACTTTAATAATGCTAAAGACATTATTAAGGAAGAAGACACAAACAGTTTTTGTTTTTGAAATGAAGGTTTTTTTTGTTTAAAGGAATGTCAATCTTTTTGGCTACTGACAAAGTTCTACTTCTACTGCCTTTCGATCTGGTCATGATGGAACGCTTTTTAAACGGTTTAGCTGTTAACAACAGTTACTGAAGGGATTTCAGGAACAAAAATGGATACCATGGTCTGAAAAGGCTAAAAGTCTGATTTGTAAGAAGCAACTATAGTGGATGGATTTTTTTGTTTACCTTGTTGCTACTATTCACTATCATTGTCCTATGAACATAAGCCAGACATCTGGCCTATGTGAGAGTAAAAATAGCTTCCGAAAAGTGTTAATCATTCTCTTTGAAAAACAAAAATACCTGGAAATCTGCATTAGAAGTGAATGAATTATTGTTACTGAAGTGGTTGTGGTGATTACATAGGGTATTCCATCATAGATCACATTACAAACTATAATAAAAGGTATCATATTCTTATTTAAAAGCCTATGGTTTGTTTTTATGAGTTTGCGTATGCTAGTAGTAAAGGCTTAGAAATATCAAAGGGTGCAGAAATGTCGGAAGTTTCCAGCATACTAAGAATACAGCAAAGCACTTTGACAGTTTTGGTAGTGCTAGTATACTATCAGCTTTTTTCAAATGCACCTTGATTGTAGTTGAAGATTTAAATATCTCTAATTGAAACATGCAGTTCAATTTTTCCTATTAAAAATCAACTCAACCGTTAAATTATTTGAACATTCGTACTTCTCATCCGATGCAACTTTCCGGGATGAATTAGGGCAATATAAAAAAAATTTGATAGTTAAACCAGGGAACAGTCTGTGAAGATTAACATATTTGTTGTCTACAATAAGCAGTATTTGGAGCGAGGCATTCTCCATTTTGATCATTTATGTACTTGTTTAAATCGTCCTTGTATTCTTTTTACCAACAATCCAGTTCATATATATTGCTTTCATCAATCTTTTCATCATTCTTACGTATAACGTGATATTGCATACAATTCCAATTTTTTCTTCACAGTCGTGTTTATAATTTTGTAATATATATATGACGGACCGACAAAATTAAAGAGACGGAGTGAGGTCAATTTGACATTTTTAAGCTACACTCCATTGATTTCGACTGGGAATGCTTCATTATGTAGATTTTCGTTGCTTTGACTGGATGAGACGATGCTCTTCCAACTTTTTGCATGTCTCTGGAGCAACAATAATGTTTGTTATTCTCTCCTCTCCAGAAGAAGTATTCTTCCGCCAATATTCCATACACATTTTGTCATCATTTTCTTTACGTTCCAAAGTCATCTATCTCTTCTTTCTTAGTTGCCAGTTGAATGTGTCACATTAGTTTAGGTTGTTTCCGCAACCAACAATAGTAGTGATTAGACATTTGTCATTTAGCTCATTTTTCCTTTTTTCACTTCTAGCATTTCACTCATTCATTATGCCGAATTTCACATTCTACACTAGAATTTGGTAATTAAAATTGTTGAAATTGTCATAAAAAACCATATCAAATTTTATAAACGAAAGCGATGGAGTCTCACATATTGAAGCATTCTTGAATTGCTTTTTTTTCGTTGTTGTCATATTTTACATTATGGCGTATACTAACTACACTTACATTATGCTTATTTGTCACAGGTATTTATTATTAAACTTGCCTAATTTTGCAGAAGTAAGTGATAAATGAACTTTTATTTGTAGTGTTAATGATTTAGAAGTCTCAGCCGTTTATATACAAGAAGTTTCTTAAATCAGCTTCATTGATAACACTGATATTATTTACACAGCTTCATCGATTACTAATTATTTTAAAAGCTTACTTCACGAGTGAATCAGTTCAAGATGATTACAAAAGTAATATGAATAGAAAAACTTTTCGATATGTTTATATTACTGGAAATTAATTCAGCGGAAATAATAAGTCTTTTAGAATAATCAAGTTTCAAAAATTACTTTTAAAGTGGCTATATTATCTCATAATTATGTGAATATCAAATATTCTGCTCGAACAATTTATTTTTACGGATCCCTTTACTAAACATAAATAGAGGCAGTAGGATACGAACACTATTGACTGTATGTAGTTCAGACATTGCAATCCAAATTTCAATAAATTTGAAAATCCAATTATAAGTAACGTAGAAATTCCAAAAAAGTTAAATAAACTGCATCAAAAAACGCTGGGAAGACTTGCTTTTAAGGAAAAAGAGAAGAGCGCCGATCAAGACTGAATTAAAATTGCGCTTATGATTAACAGCTTGTGAAGCTGGTTGAGTGGGATATAATGTACGCATTTCTTCTTTATCTTTCCGCTATCCAATATGATAATAAAATGCTTGTAATCATTGGTAAGATGAAAAAAGAAATAAGATTCTTTAAATATAATGAGTCAGGTTGATATGCGCCGATGCTGTCATCTTCCTTTGTTGGAGTCTCATTTGTCTTTATATTCATTCTGGATTTTACTGTCTCATCTAACTAATTAATTCTGAGAGCAATGGATGGAATTTCGAAAATTCGGAAAAAAATATGAGCAACTTCATTTTATCCGTATCATATGAATTTGATTTTTCTATTATGTCACAATGTATTTGTTTTCTATATCTTTCTTAATTGTTTTATCTTTGCATTTACTTATATTTATTGTTATAATGGCTAGAAAGCAAAATTTAATTAACTAGTCAGTTCCATATTAATGAATCTTACTAGCAGTAGGTATTTGGGGTCACTGTCTAATGAACTGGATATGAAGTTAGAAGCCATTTTTCAAAGGGATAAATTCAGAACCACAAAGGTTCTTAATTTGCCATATTTTAATGGATTCACTTATCGATTTTCGATGATCTGGAACAGTTCTTCAAATCGAAAGTTCATTATGTGCAACGAATGTTTTATTGTAAATCAAAATGTACATAATATCTCTACTATTTGGTCAATTATCCTCATAATGCATATGATATCAGCATTGCTAACAGTGTTCACTTATTTTAACACTTTGCGTACCCGGGAATATTGCACTGAACCTGTATCAGACGATGGAAATGGTAGCGGAAAAAAGGTGTGATTGTTGTTTCCCTAGAAAAAATTGAATAAGATTTATGAGAGCATATTTAATAACTGGAAAGATTATCGCGATGTAATGATCACTGAATCAACTAAAAATCTCTACGGTTTTAAAATTCTGAATTTATTTACATAATAAGCAAGGAAGGATTAATTAATGTATTATATCAGCCACCAGACAGAGTTTGATCAGTAATGGGACTGAAATGCGGAATGCGAATTCTTTACAGAGTTTCAAAAATTTCGAGATATAACAATACATTTGGTGAAAGAAGGTATAAGTCAGCATGCGCATTACTCAAGGATTTCTGCGACCGTACAAGTTCGCATGGCATTCCCCTGATTGGGTATACTTATCATTACGAATTATGAAGAATGAAGAAAACAAAATCTTAGTGATATCTAACGATTGGTCTTTGCAATCTAATTTGAATTCTTTTGTTAAAAAAACAGCTGAATATCTGTAATCTGTGAATGATTAATTATGAATAATTTTTGCAGCTCGCCATCATTTTTTAGCCGTACCGTTTGGACAACTATCACTTTATTGTGTTTCATATTATTTCTTTATCAAACATATTGGACATTATCCGAATTTTTTCAATACAGGACAATAATCGAAATGCAACTGAAATTTGAACCCGGTATGTAACACGTGTTAAATGGCAATCAATAAGTTATTCCACATTGATATATGAGAAAATACTAACACAAAATTAGCAAGAACAAAAAGGAGTTCTAAACAGAAGCTAAGAGTGGCATGTTATTACGATCATTTCTTCAACAATATTTTCAGCGCCCTTTCCTGCAGCAACTGTATGCAACTTGAATGCCTTCAAAAACAGCGAATTGAGAAAGTATGAAACAATTTCTGAAGGGGTGATTTATATTATATGATATACCTTTACTTGCTTATATATGTTCTTTCTATTGATGTTATTTTTAAAATATCGTTTAATGGGTACCATCAAAAAAATTATTCAAAATATGGAATATGACGACTTTTTTTGGCCTTCCATTTTTTGAATTTATGGTTTATAACTTGATTTGAAATTACAAGTTAAATGTTGAAGTTCGTATCGATTTGACAGGTCCATCAAGTCTTAACATTTCAAAAGCTTGCATATTACAGTTAGATGTTTGGGAAGAGAAAATTAACCGATATAAAGGTTCAACGATTAATTCAAATAATTCGGTGCGAAAAAGACGTGAAGTTAGTTATGCCCCTGTTTTTGTTCGGTGTAATTGTATGCAATCATATGATCACTGTGTTCCACAGCGGAATCCCTTGTTGGTAACGGTTTTAACACTTTGTTCTCGTTGCATTTAACAACTTTCTTTTATTTTTAGTAAAAAGAAATTTTTACATATACCATATTATTAATAATACTGTCATTACAGCGAAATACAACAGTGTGCATATGTTTCGAAGATATTAATACTGGTAATATTTGGCCATGCTATCCCACTGTCACTTGGACAGAAAAGGTAATATACCTTTACTAACAGCATCTCGTAGTAAAATCGAGTATGCTCAAAATACATATACAGTTTGCAGCAATGTTCTGACTGTTCACTGTCGAAAACATGTGATGATCCAGATCGGCCCAGTTCGACTGCTTTACGATCATCAGGTAATAGCCACAGGTGTTTGTGCCAATTTGTTTCCAATAATTGCGTCATCGTGTCGAACGATGTTATCCGTTGGTGGGATCCAAATAACTATACCGTGTTACCTGTCACTCAATCATCCACCACTTCTTTGGAACTTGCCGAAGCTTTTGGCATGAATGTTTGTTTTATTCAAAACTTCCGTTCTTGCGTTTGTTTAGTCTCTTCACTATATAACATCTCCCATTCATAAATATCACTAAATACGAGCTAGTCTAAAGCATCGATGGTCTAATAAGTTGATTGAAAAAAATAATCTAATGATTACCTTATAAGCTTGAGTCCTGAGATGCCAGTTTACATTATATAGCAGTAAATCATTCGAAAATTGTTTTAGACATATAAATAGATAATTTTATTAGGTTTGGCGAAATCAGTAAAGGACTATTCAGATTTCGAAAAATAATCTATTTGAAGGAGAGACAAGATCCAGCTGCTATGACAGCCAAAGCGAAAGAGAACTTAATATTTATGGTTGCTGCATTGTCATTTGAAATACGTCGGAACTTGTCCTACACACTTGAAGAATTTGTACTTCGTTGTTCATTTAACAGTGAAGATTGCAACCTCGAAAGGTTTCTTAATTTTTTGTTTAAAAAAATTGTTGGTTAAGTATTGTCAAACATGATAATTTTTATAAAAATTTCTTTAAAAAAAATGAACTCATATCTTTCATAAAACTGTTTTTTCAGAGATTTCAAGTTACATATGGATCCTGAATACGGTAATTGTTACACATTTAATTTCAATGATTCTGTTGAACTCAAAAATAGTCGCGCTGGTTAGTATCATTGCTTCGTCAGTACTGTTTAATTGATTTCTCAATTTGATAATGGAATAGGGATATTATACATCCGATCTTGTATGCCGTGATGATCAAAATGTGTTGTTATGGAATCAGAGAAAATGATGGAATGACCGTTACAGAAAATAACGTCGTCAAGGATTTCTGAATGCTAAATCCGTATTCAATGAATTAGATGTGGAGGAAGTAGTTGATAACCTTAGTAGAATATTTTTAGGACCGATGTATGGGTTGCGTCTGCTGCTGAATGTAAATCAAAGTGATTACTCGCCGACAACTGAAGCGGCTGGTGTTCGACTGGTTGTGCACGAACAGGTCTGATGATTGAAGATATTGAACAAAAAATATTATGCGACAATAAATAACATTCAAATGCTTTCAGGATCAAGAACCTTTCCCGGATACATTTGGGTACAATGCGCCAACCGGAGTTATATCATCGTTTGGTCTAAAAACGGTTAGTGCCATCTGGTGAAAATAGTAATTATGAAATCATTTCATGCAGAGCGTCACTGTATCCAATATTTTGTGTTTCAGAAGGTATTACATCGTCTGGATGCACCGTATGGGATGTGTAGTGATACGTTCAGGCCTTCTGGTTATATTTATGCGGAACGTTACTCACCGGAGGTTGCGTTTCATTAGTCAGTTAATCTCACTTTAATATATCTGAAAGCATAAGTTACAAAACAAAACAGTAATTCAGCTGATATGATTTATTTATTTCAGGGTTGCTATCGTAATTGCTTTCAACATACGGTATTAAAGAGATGTGGTTGTGGAGATCCGCGATTTCCTCTACCTTCTGACGATTATCATCCATGCAACGTTAAAAATGCCACAGAACGTGAGCATAATAGCTATTTTGGAAACAACTAGCGGTTGACCTTAACTCTTTGCGCAAAAATTAATCATCTAAGTGTCGTGGGAGTAGGAACGCTACATTACTTTGCTAATAATTGGTAATGGATAAAGCATTTGCTGCTACCCTGTCCCAGTGAATAGTTTTATCATTTTTATTTTAAAAAACTTTGCTTAACAAAATTTCTACTTAGATTTTCTAATGTTTAGATTAGCCAATACGTACACTCTCCATCTGCTATATTTTATAAAATTTCAACGATCTTGCAGGTAGTTGCTTAAGTAACTTTACCCAACACTCTGGTGGTTACCATCATATACAACAGAATTGTGAATGCGTGCAGCCATGCAGCGAAAACGTCTTTGAAACAGCTTATTCTGCAGCTGCTTGGCCAGCGAAAAATTTTATCATTGGTGTAGAATGTCCAGCCGTTCTCGACATCGCAAATGATTCCCGAGCTTGTACCGAATACTATAGGTCCATTTAACCTGTATCTTCTCTTCATTGCAATCTTTTTCTTCAATTATTTGCTTTTTCAGGCCAATTTTTGAAAATTTTTATAAAAAATATGATTCAGAAAAAATACAGCATACATTGAAATTTACTACGAGCAGCTCAACTTTGAAACACTTCGCGAAACTGCAGGATATTCGGTTTGTTTCAAAATCTTTCCTTCCTGCTTCTGAATGGTTGATAATGTTTTACAAATGTCTCTTCCTACTTTTGGGTCATGCGTTACGAAAGGGTTAAGCTTTTCGATTGGTTTTCTTTTTAATTTTATCAGTTCAACTTTGTTGATATCGTACATTGTCAATGCAGAATAATGTCTTCTTCCGAGCACTCAACACCACGAAAGGTCTATTTCAGATTGTGAATTTATTCTCCGACTTTGGCGGTAATATTGGTCTCTGGATTGGTTTTTCAATTATAACAAGTGAGTGGTGAAATTCCAACTCATATAAGCGCAATCATACCATTAAACATTAAATTAAAAATTGGTTTTGCAGTGATGGAAATCGTTGAACTCGTGTGCGAAATGTGTTACTATTTGATGTATAGACGGCCTATGCAAATAGCGCAGCGTAAACAACGAGATAAAGTGCTAGTGAGGCGACAATTTCGATTCCGTACTGACAGCTCCCCTACGTTATCGACAGCAGCCGATAGGTCGATGATCACTGAATTAAGTTTGGATTTCAAGGATACCGATTATAACACACCCCGATGTTGATATAGTTACCACTCATATCTGTCGTTGTCCTTACGGAATGTGCCACAACTTTCATTTTTGACTTACATTTTCTAGCCGTTCTTTCTCACCATTCACTAAATCTTATGGCTTAATGCCACCACACATTTTCTTTCACATGAAAATTTGATACGGAACAACAAACATTAAACATGAAGCAATAACTCTACAAGCTAGGTAACATGCTCACTTGAAAGTTTTGAAACTTATTATCGTTACTGAATGAATAATACAGCTGATCTAATAAAAGTTTCTGCGTTAGAAGCTCGAAAATTGCTTGCAGCAATCTTTGATTAAGGTTAAATCAAACCATGCTCACATGGTTGATGCTTTTCCCTTATAGCACTAAAAATAAAGTCTGACTTGTAATTAAAAGACAGCCCACAAATGGCTGCAATGCGGCAAACATCAAAGAAAATTATTTTTCATGCCTTAATCAAATCAGACAGGTATGAAGATAACATGGCGCAGCTACGAAATTAAGAGTGAGCAGTATATTCAAAGATTTGTTAAATTGTCTCAAACTTAAAAAATTTCTTCTCTTCAACCGTTCTTACTGAAAAGTCAGAGCCGAAGTTTTGGAATTTATTAAAAGTTTAAAGAATAAACTTGAAACCTGCGATTTGAACAAAAAGTTTAGGTCGGAGGCAGAATGGTATGTATAATTCTGGAATCCCCTCTTCACATTATCCATTTCTGGTCGCTTATAATAAATAGCAAAGCATGGATAATCTGCTTCATAAGTTCTAATTTATGAAAGCAGACAGGAGATGAAAAGGAAGTAAAGATCATACCTACGCATATAAAGAGAACAGAGCAAGTAGTGAATAATAAGAACACCAAAACACCAAGTAGAAGTCATAATCTCTTGGAAATTACTGGAAAATATGAGCTACAGGAAAATTTTAAAAGTATTATAAAAGAATATCATGAGGCACAGTGTTTTGTAATATTACTACCGCAATTATCACCATATCACAAGTTTCAGCAATATTACACAGCACGATGAGCATTTAATTACTGGTCTTTTCTAGTATATTTTAATTAGCAGATTAATCGACTAATCGATATAAAGAAATTAATTATCGTAATACACACTGAGAACATTAATTTCGCCAGTGGAAAATGTTTGTGTTGAGGCATCGCTCACTTGCCTTGGTGAAGGAACAATGATGCTGTTGACAATTGGTGTTGCAACCGCTCTCCTTGTTGATGATCTAAATGGTGTCGTACCGTTGGTTTGAAATACTGCTGGTGGTGGCCGATTTGCATTCGGTATCAATGCTTTCAGACATTTTTCCTCAAACAGTGCCAGAAGATGCTTCGGCAACATAGTACTCATCATACGATACAATACTGTTACAAGACAGTGTGCTTCCTCAACCACAGTCACTAGAAAATCCTCCGTTATCGGCCGCAGACCCCAACTGAAACAATTTTATGACAATATTTTATTCTTCAGAAAACGAATTACCAAGAACGATTAACACCTTAAATACAAAGAAATAACAAATTTTGAACCTTGGCGATTGAGTGAGCTTCCTAGGCGTAGCATCTGACATCATGATTGACTGTGGATAGTAAACTCTTTGAAGATTTAGGAATGGCATTGTACGCATGTCCGTCAAAGCTTTGCCAAACTTCTCATGTTGCAATATCGCATGAGCTACCTGTCACAGACATTTTTGAACACAAAGATTTTACCGATTTTTTGCAGTCAACTAAAACTTCAGCAAAACAGTTCCATTGATTTGTCCCTAGATGAAATTGATTTCTACTGAAATAGAACGAAAATACGAGCTTACCTGCGTATCGAAGATTTTTCTAAGATTGATGGCATAACGATGAGCAAGCAAAGTGGCCACTCTCTTGGCATCATGAATTACCTGGTAAACTAAACATATAAGAAGAGTTTACATAGGACTTACACCCCATCAAGACCACTCGCACAGTGAGGACACAAATATACTCCGATGATATGACTGAACGTTGGAAAAACTGCGAACTGATCTTGTAGAAGATGTTTATGACGCTAGCAGTTAAACCCCATCCATCGATAGATGATCAATGATTAGGGTTACTTGAACTTCGTAGATCAACATGAAATAGCGAAAGAGTATCTTCTATGCTTGATTAAAACCTTCCGGATGGTCTTTAGTGAATGATATTTCCCAAACACTTAAATACTAGAATGGTCGAACCACTCCAGGGCCGATCATTTCTGTATCACAAACTCTAATTGCCTCAAAATGACTCCATAAAATCTCTATGGAAAAAGTACAATAAAATATACCTTAATAATTTTCTCAGATTCTAAAATTTCTTTAACACCACTTTCCAATAATATGGTATCACTATGAACAACATCGAAAACAATTATTTGTGTGGTTGTTGCCAATACAATCAGAGACAGAAATTCTTCTCCTTGTATGCCAAGGGTAACAGTCTTAAAATCAACACCAACAACTCGTTCTTCCATACTATCAATTTCTGCGTTTATCAGTGATACTGATTCCTGAAAAATTTTTCCAAAAACTCAATCACATTAAGTTGCATATATTGCGGTGAAAAAGCTTACAAGTGTTACCGGTTAACTTCGCAAGAAAAAACTAAAAAATGACAAAATGGCTCGGTACCTTTGCAGGTTTTAAGGCTTTCACAAGATTGATTCGATTGATAGCATTATTATTTAGATGGCTACTATTATTTTCAAGTTCTGAACTCTCAGTGGAGCCACTTTCTGAACCATCTTCTGAAGCGCGATTTTTCACAAGCGAAACCTAGTAAGAGATAAAATTTAGATCTAGAATCATATCATACTCCGCAAATTTTGATGGAAATTAGTAATAAATAATTCATTAAAAAGATAAAACAGTGCAAAGCAGCAAATAGCGAGAGAAGGAAATTCTTGCACTCTTCAACCAAATAGCAACTAAAATAATTTTTTTTCAAGAATAACCTTATTAGATCTTATAAAAAACACATTGCGATTAAGCTTTAAGAACTGCAATAATTCCTTCGGATTGGTTGCTACTTCTTGTCTGACCGTATGAGAAAAACGATCGCAAAATTTCTGATAGAATGCATCCAATGGTATCGGCTGTTCATCATTCTACAAATTGAGATTTTCATGGCTACTACACTGGTTGTCGGAAAACCGAAATAACTTTATAATGAAAAATATCTATATAATCAAGTATTGTTAAATCTGTATTATAGAAATCCTTCGTTTCGAATATTCTCAGTCAAATAAGATGTGTTTGTTATTGTTCCAAGAATATCATCAATAATTACTGTAGCTTGTCTCAAATTCTTAATGATGAAATATGCTTTGTTTATTGCTTTGATTCTAAGAAATACTGCTCATGATTTATATCCTATGGCCTCATGTTTACCATTAGTCTCACCTTTCAAATAACGATGATTCTTGTTTGCCGTTAGTTTCGTTTATAAAATGATCAACTGACTATTTATTATAAACAATGCTAACCGAGCACTGCCTAACTCAGAAGGACCATACATATTTTAGTGTTATTTCTGTACTGAAACGAAACGGTCTCACTACCTATATTCTCCTGAACTACGACTCAATCAATTCGACCAATTTCGAAGTTTGAATGGGATTCAAACTTTAAAACGATTACTTCAATCACCAATAATGAAAAAATCTTCGTCTATTGACATTACAATTGTCATATAATATTACCACTAATCTTCCACAAAAAATAAACCTTTACCACGACCATTATCTGCGAAACAACAAACTACTCAAATCAAAAACTTTTACGACACGGGCAGTTCATCACTGTTATTTATGGGTAATGCTTTTTCATTTTTGGTTTTAGAACTACAGAACTTATTTCTTCAAAGCAAGCTCTTCTTGGGACCTGAACTTTTTTACATTCTGCATGAAAGCACATCGTAATCTTTCCAATCAACAAAAATTTTCTTGCGGAATTTTAAAAAAAACACATTTTTTCGCAAGAAAAAATGTGTTTTCTTTAAAAACCTTAAAGATTATAAGTGAAAAAACCTGCTCCACAACAGATCTGAGATACTCGACAGCTGCTTGTTTGGCTTTGACACCAGCTAAAGGTTTTCCTTCATCATCCAATTCAATACCAGCATTACTAGGTTCGGGCATATTTTTTAGCCGAACGCGATCTCCCTCAACCACAAAGTGATCATTCTGCGATTGAAGAAACTCACAGAAATCCTTTAGATGCCTACCAGATACCAGACGTACTTCAGGAGCCGCTTGTGAACGATGACCGAGCAGACTCTTAATCTGTAAGTATATTTAGATTAATTTAAATAATCACTAAAGCATGACAGTACCCCTAATATCTTGAAATATATATCTGAATGTGAGCAAATAAAAATATGAATTCAATCTATGTAATTTACACTACATTATCATCAAATCGTGGTTGATATCAATAATGAAAATGACTGGTTGTTACGAACGGAGCGCTTTTGCATTTACGAAAAAATCGTGTAGTAAACAAGACATTCCTGCAACTCCGGCCCGAATTTCTGTAGTTTTGCTTCAAAAAACTGCACCGCTTCCTTCACATAATCACGATTTCTAGCGTTTGCAGTCGCTTGCAATAAAGGGTTGTTCTTCACTGTCATATCACCGAATCCATTTAAGCAAACCTAAAAATATCGGAATTTTTAATCAAATATTTATAGTTGAAACCACAACTAAATCGTTGCAGAATCAAAAACAAAGACGAAATTATTAGAAATGGACAAGCCTGCACGTATTATGATGTGACTTTACATGTTTACTGAACCTTTAGAAAATTTTTTGGTCGACAAAACGAGAGATATATTGCATTAAATTGATTAGTGCTTTACCTGATCTCCCTCAACTGTAAACAGTGAGGGATGTTGATTGAGGAAATCGGTGAGGCCTTCCTGTGTGGTACCAACCGCATCACGCATTTCTGCAGTGAAACCACGTGCACCGAACTGGCAGCTGAGATCATGGATTGTACGCCGACCATTCTTTTGCATTAGGTGGTCCATGAAAAAAAGTAACGCCATATTCTTTGCTTCGTCCATCATACAACCACTGAATTCTATTGTTTTTTTTTACTTGAAATATAAATCCGATTATCTTTAAAGTGATATTGCGTTGCTTATTCTGAGCTTACGTAAATGCATCGGAACGCTTGACATACGAACAAGAGCAATTCAGACAAAAAGTACTTTTCAAAACAATAAGTATACTCAAAAAACATCGTAAAAACTGTAATGAAAGAATGAATATTTCCGGCGTAGAGAAAAGTGAGCAGTGGTTAACAGCATTATCAATCAGCGGGTTTACAATCCGATTACGGATAGAACAGACTTTGAGAGTGCAAATCTTTAGGAAACTGCACGTACAGAAGAGAATAGAACAGTGTCCTTCACATTAGATGAAAGTAAGGGCAACTGTGAATCATACATGTTCAAACTGATTTTGGACAGAAGTTGATACATTTCTGAACAAGGTAGATGAAGTGCAAAACAGAAATTGCTGCTGATAGATGTGATGTTTCATTAATTATTGCTTATGAAATCGAATTTTTCGATTGGTATGGATAAAGGCAGGAGAAAAAGAGTAGATGGACATGCTAGAAAGGAATTCAAAGTTTTTAATGAACTGTGTAAAAACTCCACGCTGGTGAAAACTAAGTAATTATGCGACAGGAAGATGGGAAAACGAAAAGGGAAAACTGGTTCGGAAAAATGCTAAATGATGAAAAGGAAGGATCGAAAAAAGAGGAAAGAATAGGATGAAAATGCAAGATTTATGACATTGATTTTTGCTGTAAAACTATGCTGCTGTTAACACGAAATTTATGAAATTAGAGATCCAAGCATACTCAAGCTGAGTTATAATTTTTTTTTTTAATTACAATGTTATAATTTAATTCATAGCGGCACTAGCAAAATATTTTTTTCTAAATTATGTCACCAGTGTCGATAAAACTTTACAAGTTTTTTTTGATTAAAATGGGCTTCACGGTTCAAAATATTTTGCGATTTAGAAATGGGATCTCCTATACTAAAATAACGATCAACTAATATACTCACCCCTATTTGGCTCAAAGCATTTTCCAAAACATCACATCTTACAGCAGTCAACCGGAGATAATGTTTGAACTGCATGACCGCGGACAGCGGACATAATGAAATTTAGTAACCCGAAGTAAGGCTTCCCCATCATCCTCCAGCAACCATTAATAAATATTTAAATTGAAAAATGTTGTTTTGGGACTTACGGCACTAATAATGAAAACAAAGAAGTGTTACTGTCGAAATTCTGTTGGAATTCTCATTATAAACAAAAGTGCCACATATGTTTCTCCCGTAAAAGTGAAAAAAGACTGACCAATCATCCTTTAATACTTACTTCAATTAAAATAATGTATTCCGGTCCAAAACTAAGACTTCTAAACCGATTGTTTGCAAAAACTGGAATATATAGCAAAATTGCAGCAAAGGACAGCTTAGAAATGACTGATAAAGGCAAGATAAATTAAGACAAAACAATACTTTGAACAACATCCAAGAACTAATTGGAAGAACTCAGTCGGACAAGGAACAGCTTCTACATATGCATTAGACTTACGTGAACCACGTATTCAAATTTAACACATTCTTTGCAAGCAACGCACAAATAAACCCCAAGGTTATTCTTTGTTTTGGTCCTTAGGAGAACTTTGCAGTTCATTATGTACCTCATCTTAGACGCAAATTAAGATTAAACTCATAATTTCAAAAGTTATTTCTCTGAAACTCATTATAAAGATGCTTGAAAATTTTTCAGCAAAATTTTTCTGCGAAGTACACTAAAAGCAAACTGGTTGGTATATATATTACCTGAAGTATCAAAACTCAAATCCATAAAGCTGTTCACGAGTTCTCATGTTCAACAAAGCGTCATTCCCCCTATTCAGTAACAGAAATATCTTACAGATTATAGGGAATTTGAGATAGTAAACATCTTATTCAACAAATGGTATAGAACAATTCGTCCACTTTCAATACATATTTGGTATTTCCTTCAAACCTTTAACTGGACATCACCATATATAACTGATCGATTTTAAGTTCCCAGACAATTCTAACTTTCAAACAAAAACAAGGCGAATTATAATACTCTAATAATTATACATCCGAGAACCATAGAAATAGAAAGTAGAGAATAAATTCACAGCGCAAGCGAGGCCAACAAGAAACACATCATACATTAAGTGTTTCCAAACTGAAAGCAAATAAATAATGAAATCTGCAGGAAACTTTCATAAGCGAATCCACAAACTTACTTCTACTTTTCTGATGCGCAAGATACTGTGTATAGTCTCCTCATTTAATTAAAGAATGTTAACAACAGTCCTCTTCTGCAGCGAGTTTTGCACACCATTCGTTTAATTCGTTTATAGGTCACATTAGTAGACCATTTATAATTCAAATAATTATGTTTTGCATTATTGTAATTTCTCACACTCCTGATGGTATTCAAGACAACACACATTGTTTTTCTAATTAATAAGCACCGACTTATTTCTTCATTGGTATTATACAGCAAATTTACATGGTATGTAGGGTTTTTAAAGAAGCACAAAAGTTTCAAATCTTTACTACTACAGATCTATCAAAAACAACAGCTGATATTTATAATGTAAATTTATGACAAAAGCACAACTACTATGAAATATCGTCTGAACTAAAACTATAATCATTGCATTGCAACGATAACCGATGAACCGACAAAGTGTCAGACAGATGATAAAAACTTGAATTGAATTCCATGAGGTAGTATTTAGAAATCATTCATTTTTGAAATCAGCAAATTCGTTTTCCATTGCGTGATAGGTATCTCCATTTCAAGTGTTCATAGCTTCCGCTATTGCACTGCCTTGGCTTTTTAAGGGGTCCTTTATTCTTGATTGGTTTTTTTTGTCTTTTTAAAGTCCGTAACTACTGCAAGGTAATAAAATGCCCTTCATTCATAAGATCCTATACCATTTGAATGATTTCAGCGAGAATATCTAAACATTGTTGTTCACGCTAAAGTGCCATTACAATATGTTAACATCCCGGATGAACTACTTCATGATGTTAGATAGAAAGCTATCGACATATGGACCATGGTAATTACCAGTGCGAAACACATGTGGCAGAAAGTATCATTTCTTTTCGATCTAAATGAACTTGAATGTTTTGTGCTAAATCTGACTAAGGAAGAATCATATATTTATTTATTTGTTTATTTATTTAACTATTTATTCATTTATTTATTCATTTATTTATTCATTTA